GCTATTGTAGAGGTATATGAACAATTCATTTGGGATTTTGAAAGATGTTTTTTTTTTACTTTTCACTGATTTATCTAAAAATAGATGTATTATGCTCTTCTTATTATTAAGCTACTACTCTAGGAGTCATAACAATAACTGAGGTGAGAGGTATACTCTCTAGTTTATGGAGACGGATTTAATGAGTATCCAGTTCCTCTGCTATTGAGTTATTTCTCTGTGCTAGTTTCATTTATTTATTTTTAAGTAAAGTACAGCCTGGTAGCTGAGTTGGATGACATTGAATGGCTGGTTACTGTTGATTGAAGTAAAACAGACTTTTAACAGCTTCTGGGTAATGTCAGAAAGGCAAAGTGACAAAGATAAATGTCTGTGTTCCATTCTGAAAATAGCAAAAGTCATATGGAACTAAGAGTAAAGGGCTGTAAATTTAATCCAACTTTGAAATTGCTGTGGCATAGCGAAATTTTACTATGATTTCTCTCTTTAAAATATTTTCTTATCTTTAGGCAGTTGTACAAAGGAGCTGCCATTCAACAAAGCAGTTTATGAATACAGTGTGTTTTGACCAATGTCACCCCTTTCAACATTCTCATCCATCCCCCAAGCCCACCCCTTCCCTCACTGTTCTTAATTTTTTAGGATAAATATTGAATCTTTTTTGCCATTTAACAAAACACTTGATGTATACAATGCATCTTTTTTTTCAATTTTTTTTATTTTGATTAAGTGGTTACATAATTTCCCAAATTTCACAGTATTGTGGGATAGTGATGCTCAGTTAAAGTCACAAACACATTCTAACTTTCCTGGAGCAAATTGTCTATCATGGTCTATAACATTTATGAGTTCTATGAGCTTTTCGATACAGTTATTTCTTCCACATTGGGTGATATGTACTTTTCTTTTGTTTTGCATAGCATCAGTTGTTCCCTCTTTCCCACTTGTTCCCTCCCTCCCATCGCTGCCATTGAGTTGATTAATTCATTTTGGTCAATGTCCAGTGCAGCTGATGGGTCCCGCTGTTGTATGTTTTTCCCCGATTCCCTCTAGTTCTGTGTCGTCGTCCTGGTTTCCCTCCGGTGTACACATATATACCATACATGTGATCAGCAGCATGGGGTTATTTAGTAGTGATTCAAACAGATGAGTGGAAGTCCTTTGTTTCTTAAGTCCTGTTAATTATGTCGTATCACCTAACATTTTGGATTCAACATCCACTTATCAGGGAGACCATGTACCGTTTGTTTCTTTGCTCTTGGCTTATCTCGCTCAACATGATTTCTTCTAGCTCCATCCATTTCCCTGCAAATGCCATTATTTTGTCATTTCTAATAGCTGCATAATATTCCATTGTGTATAGATACCACAATATTTGGATCCATTCATCTGTGGTGGGACATCTGGGTTGTTTCCATATCCTGGCTATTGTGAACAGTGCTGCAATAAACATGGAGGTGCATGTGTCCTTGCATACTGGTTCCTGTTGTTCAGGATAGATGCCTAGAAGTGGTATGACTGGGTCATAAGGGAGGTCAATATTTAGCTTTCTGAGGACCCTCCAGATTGCTTTTCAAAGTAGTTGTATAAGTGTACATTCCCACCAACAGTGTAATAGGGTTCCTCTTTCTCCACATCCCCTCCAGCGTTTGTCATTGGCTGACTTGAGGATGTGGGCCATTCTGACTGGGGTAAGGTGGTATCTCAGGGTTGTCTTTATTTGCAATTCTTTCACAACTAGGGATGGTGAACATTTCCTCATGTGTTTCTTTGCCATTTTTATCTCTTCATCTGAGAAGTCTCTCTTTAGTTCCCTTGCCCATTTCGTAATTGGTTTGTTAGGTTTGGGAGGGATTAGTTTCTTGAGTTCCCTGTATATACTGGATATTAACCCCTTGTCTGATACATTGCTGGTAAATTTTTTCCCAATTAGTTGGTTGTCTTTCTAGCTTAGTTGCGATAGATTTAGCTGTGCAGAAGCTTTTTATTTTAAGGTAGTCCCATTTGTCAAGTCTCTCTCCAACTTGTTGTGACCCTGGGACTCTGTTCAGGAAGTTCCTTCCTGTGCCTATTAGTTCAAGTGTCTCTCCTACTCTGTCCTGCAGTAGTTTCAGAGATTCAGGTTTAATGTTAAGGTCTTTAATCCATTTTGAGTTGATGTTAGTACATGGTGATAGGCTGGGGTCCACTTTTAGTCTTCTGCATGTGGCCGCCCAGTTTTCCCAGCACCAGTGGTTGAAGAGGCTGTGTTTCTTCCATTGTAAGTCTTTGGCTCCTTTGTCAAATATCAGCTGACTGTAGGCCTGTGGTTTTATTTCTGGATCTTCTATTCTATTCCATTGGTCTTCAGGTCTGTTTTTGTGCCAGTACCATGCTGTCTTTGTTATTATGGCTCTTCCATCTGGCTCTTGCCGTATTTTTCTTAATTTTGTGCTCTATAAAATGAACTCTTAGCTGTATTCTCCCTTTCCCCACTTCATTCATCTACTCCTCTCCCTTCATCCCACCTCCTCTCTTGCAAGTACTCATTTCTTGATACTTACTTTGTTGAGCTTTGACTTCATCTTTCTAAAGAGTTATACTATTTGAGCTCTCCATAGAGTGTATTATACTTCAGTTCATTCATTTGTAACCACTTGCATACCACCTACAGGGTTTACTTATACACTTATAGGCCCATTCATTACATAAGAGAGAGACTTGCACACCCATGTATATAGCAGCACTATTTATAATAGCCAAGAAATGGAACCTTTCTAGGTGTCCAACAATTGATAATTGGATAAAGAAAACATAGCACATATATATATTCAATGTACTATTGTTCAGCCATGAAGAAGAATAAATTTATGTCATCTGCAGGAAATAAATGGAACTACACATCATCATGTTAACCCAGAGACCCAAGTTCAACAAGAAAAACATTTTTTTCTTTTCTTTTTTTTTGTGGGGCCTGAACTCTGGGCCTGGGCGCTGTCCCTCAGCTCTTCAGCTCAAGGCTAGCGCTCTACCACTTGAGTCACAGCGCCACTTCCGGCTTTTTTCTTTTTTTGCTTATGGGGTGCTGAGGAATAGAACCCAGGGCCTCATACATGCAAGGAAAGCACTCTACCACTGAGCCACCTTTCTAGCTCCACTTTCCTCTTTTTTTATTTTTGCCAGTCCTGGGGCTAGAATTAAGGCCTGGACACTGTCCCTGAGTGTCTTTTGCTCAAGGCTAGTACTCTGCCACTTGAGCTAAAGTATCACTTCTGACTTCTTCTGAGTTGTTTATTGGAGATAAGAGTCTCATAGCTTTTCCTGCTCAGACTAACTTCAGACTGCAATCTTCATATCTCAGCATCCTGAGTAGCTAGGGTTACAGTCACTCTTACTTTCTATTCCACTGAAGTCTGGCACTCTACCACCTCTATTTCTTTTTGCTGATTAATCAGAGATAAAAGTGGCACAAAGGGCTGGGAATGTGGTTTAGTGGTAGAGTACTTGCCTAGCGTGCATGCCCAGCATGCTGTGGGTTCGATTACTCAGTACCACATAAACAGAAACAAAACAGAAGTGGCACTATGGTTCAAGTGGTAGAGTGCTAGTCTTGAGCAAAAGAAGCTCAAGGACACTGCCCAGGCCTGAGTTCAAGCACCAGGACTGGCAATATGTATGTGTGTGTGTGTGTGTGTGTGTAAAATGAGACCTCCTTTGTATAATTAATTTATGCTAATAAAAAAATCAAAAGATTGAGATAAGCATCATAAAAAATTATAATTTAAACTTAGAAAGTAAATAGTTAAAATATAGAATCTGGTTTTGCCAAAAATAAAGTAGGAAAAATATGCTGTGTATGTCATTGATTTTGACATGCATTATGAGTGAATTTTCTATCAATTGTGAATTATTTTCACTTCTGCTAGTTAGAACATGGACTATAATTGATTGTGCAATGGTTGAATTTTAACTAATGTGTGTTTCCATTTTTAAAAAAATCACTTTACTTCCCTGTAGTTACAAATAGTATTTTCTGTTCCATAGCATCTTTAGAACTTGTAAAATACCTTATAAAGATACTGAATTTTGCTAATGGAATCAAAACTGGGATAAATGAAAGCCAATGAAATTTCTGGTTCCTTTTTAAAGAAGATAAAGTGTTTTGACAGATTTAATACATTTAGAATCCAAACAAAAAGATATATATATATATATATATATACATATCTATATGTATTACATAGCTGTGATAATCTGGATACATATCAGTCATATAATACAATATAATCAAATATATAGAGTATTTGAAAATATGTTATAAGCTACTTTTCTGAAAGCATATGAAGATTTTCCTACCCGCATTCAGAATGATATATACTGCTCATGAGTAGCCTGTCTTGGTATATCCAGATAAATAATTTCCAGAGTAGTTAAGCTTTATCAACCCTTTAAAATCACCAAGTCAGTTATAGTTAGCCCTTTATTTAGTAAGTGGAATGAGTATCAGGTACCTAGATCTGATCTTTGTTAGGTGTTTAGCTTTTTAAAAGTAGGCCTTAAAGGTTGATGAACTCACAGATAACTTTTTATTGTTTCAAAGATCAGCTAACCACAAGTGATTTACCAGATATTTAAGGTTAATAATTCAGCTTATATGAATGAACCTTCCAGAACTCCCAATTTGGACAAGACCATTTCCAAATGAATTGCTCTGTTATAAAAGAGTTTTGTTATATAGTGATTTCACCATGTAACCAAAATAATGTTGGTGATTAAAATATACTCAAGAGCCCTTCTACTCTAAAATGAAGTTTAATTTCTATGCTTTCTTACATAGCAGTATTTCCTTAGCAGAACAATGGATGCACTTGGAGACAACTGTCAGGTTATAGTCTGTTGGTGTATTATTGTTTTCCTTTTAGAGCCTAGCTGTCTAAATAAAGACTGGGAAGAAATAACCTGTAGGGAGTAAAACATTGTAGAGATCAGTTCCTGAACTTCCCACCTTTTTTACTTTTAAGATAAAGAATCAGATACCACAATGAAGGGGAATGTGGATGACTTTGGCCTACGTGACTCTTTGAGTGTGGAGTCAACCGATTCCTTTGTTTCCGCAGCAGAGGTAAGAGGTGAATGTCTGTACAGAGCTCTTCATTTTATAGTATGAGAGTGTGATTTGCTATAAACCAGTTGAGTTGTCATTCATTTTTATAAAAGTTTCTCTTTTTTTGAGTCATATTCTTGTAATGTAGCCCAGGTTGGCCTTGAACTTCTGATTATACTACCTCAGCCTCCTGAGTGCTGGGATTACAAGTGATTGCTGTTATCCACCCAGTTGCTATTTATTTATCTAATGCTATCATGATACAAAGATGAATATATGCGCTCACAGGAATCTCTTTTAGGAGAAAGCTTGTACTCGACAGGTACTTTCATAGTTTGTAGATTTTGATGAGGCATATATAGTTTTATCATAAAGCAGTTTAGGAGGTAAAAATGTTCAGATTCTTTAGTTAACAAATCATACTTCTAAATGGTTCCATGGACATAATCAGGTTCAAGGATTTTACATATAATAACGCTCACTGTGTCCTTTTAATAGTAATAAAAAAGAATAGTTTTGCTCACTGTGTCATTTTAATAATAATAATGAAAAAAGAATCATTTAATGCCAAATTACAGACATCTACAATTTGAAACATAAACATAATCATCTTTCTAGTGAGCTTACTGGCATAGGAACAGTAATGAGAAAGTACATAGAGGTTTTTTGTTTTGTTTTTGTCCATCATGGGGCTTGAACTCAGGGCCTGGGTGCTGTCCCTGAGCTCTTTTTGCCCAAGGCTAGTACTTTGCCACTTTGAGCCACAGCACCACTTCTGGTTTTCTGGCAGTTAATTAGAGATAAGTGTCTCATGGACTTTACTGCCCAGGCTGGCTTTGAATCATGATCCTCAAATCTCAGCCCCCTGAGTAGCTAGGATTACAGGTATGAGCCACCGTTGCCTGGCTACAATAGAGTTTTGATTTAAATTTTGTAAAAGGAAACCCATATGCTATGTTGTGCAACTCTATAAGCAGAGGAGAAAGTCTAGATATAAATATGCCAATGTATCACAGTGGTGATTACAGAATTGCAAATCTCTGTATAATTTGTCTTCAGTTGAGATTTAAGTTTTCTACCAAAAGATGTGGCTTACAAAGAGGTCATTTCTTTATAAGTTTTTTTTTCTACTTGTAACAATTTAAGCCAGGTTCTGGTGACTCGTGCCTGTAAATCCTAATGACCTCAAGAGGCTGAAGTTTGAGGATTGTGGTTTGAAACCAGCCTGGGCAGAAAAATTCATGGCAAAAAGCCAAAGTGGGCTACGTAGCTCAAGAAGTAGAGTGCCAGTCTTGAGTGGAAAAACTAAAGGATAGTACCTAAACCCTGAGTTCAAACCCCAGTACTCCCACACACACACACCAACTCCCCCCTACACACATACACACACACACACACGAACAGCTTAAAAATACAACATCTGACCAATTTCATCTGTGAGTTTTCCCTTTCCCTTCTCCTCTCCTTCCTGTACCTTTTTCTTCCCTGTCCTTCTCCCTTTTTCTTCCCTGACTGAATGAAGGATCATGGTTCTAGGCCAGCCCTGGGAGAAAAGTACATGGGACACCTTCTCTATGACAAGATTGGGCATGATGGTGTGTAACTATCATCCAAGTTACATGAAAGCTGAGATTAGGAAGATCACAGTTCAGGCCAGCCTAGGGCAGAAGAGTCAGTGAAACTGTCTAAGTAGGAGCAGCTGAATGTGGTGGAATATGCCTGTCATCCAGACTAGGATCAAAAACCTAAGTGACTTGGACTGTGGTCCAGGCTGGTATCCAGGCACAAAGTGAGGCCCTATTTCACGGGTTGAGCACCCAGTGGCTCATGCCTGTAATCACAAGCTGAAATTTGAGGATCATGGTTTGAAGCCAGCCCGAGGAGAAAAGTCAAGAGACTCTCATCTCCAGTTAACCACAAAAAAGCTGGAAATGGAGCTATGGCTCAAATGCAAGCGCTCCACCTATGAGGGAAAAAACTAAGGGACAGGGCCCAGGCTCTGAGTTCAAACCCTAGTACCAGCATAAATAAATGAATAAATACTAATGCAAAAGAAGAACTAGAGGTTAGAGCACCTGCCTAGTAAGTTCAAGGCCTAGTGCTGACTCCACCAAACAAAAACAAAACCCAGCAAATAACAAGAAGAAAAACCAGTACAGGTTTGGAGGTATAGTCGAGAGTGCTTGCCTCACACCCACAATGCTCTGGATTCCATCTGCAGCACCTAGAAAAACAATGAGAAAAGAAAAGTACAGTGTGCCATTAAATGATGGCTTCATAGTGAAATGGAAAATTGCTCTAGAGGATTCTTTTTATAGTTTTTGCAGTTGTTTTTTAATGAACTGGCAGAAGACTAGAATTCTGTTGTGGGGTAGTTAGACTCTATAGAGTCAAAAGTATGATTATCTTTTAGTTGTGTAATGATTAATCAAAACTGCACATGAGACAGAATGCTTTTGGAGTGCCAAATTGAGCTTATTTCCATGGTTTGCTTCATGAATTGTACTTTTAAGTACTCTTTGCATGCTAAAAGCCCTCCTCCTGTCCCTTTTAAAGAGAGAGAATAGCTATAGAGTATTATAATGCTTTTGTGTACCCTGTAGATTTAAATAGTTGGATTCAAAATGAACTAATAAGCTTGTTGCAGTTTTACTCTTATTGACAACTGAAATCTTTTTTGTGTGTTTTGTTTTTGAGACAAGTTCTTTCAATACAGCCCATAGGCTGGTCTGGAATCTTTTTTTTTTTGGGGGGGGGGTCCAGTCATGGGGCCTGAACTCTGCACCTGGGCGCTGTCCCTCAGCTCTTCAGCTCAAGGCCAGTGCTCTACCACTTGAGCCACAGAGCCACTTCCGGCTTTTTGTTTATGTGGTGCTGAGGAATCGAACCCAAGGCCTCATGCATACAAGGCAAGTGCTCTACCACTGAGCCAGCTTCCCAGCCCTGGTCTGGAATCTTAACAACTGATTTGGAAGTTAAATAAAGTTAAGTTTGTTGTTGTTATTTGTTTGTACCTGTCGTGGAGCTTCAACTCGGCCTGGGTGCTTTTTTTACTCAAGGCTAGAACTCTACCATTTGAGTTACAACTCTACTTCCAATGTTTTGGTGGTTACTTATGGCTAAGAATCTCATGGACTTTGCTGCCCAAGCTGGCTTTGAACCACCATCCTTAATTCTCAGCCTACTGAGTGGCAATAATTACAAGCATATGCATACAGGTGTGAGCAACCAGTGGCTAGCAGAAGTTATGTTTTATTAGTTATAAAATACTAATGAATGTTTTTCATGACTAATAGCAGTCTATTTTCTTTCTTTGTAGTTGTTCTTTTCGGTCAATGTTATCTGTTCTATCTCACTGTATTCCTAGCTTGCAGCGCACAGAGAGGTACGGCATTCATACAGCCTAGAGTCTTTTTGTCGCTGCCCTTTTTATGAAGAAGCCATGCATTTAGTAGAAGAAGGAAAAATTTACTCCCGAGTACTCAGGTACTTTTCTAGTTCTGCTTTTGGTGGTGAAATATAATAAGATGTTACTACTGTGTTTGTGCAATGTTTATTAAAAAGACACGGAGAACAAGGAAAGTCCAAGCCTAAACACTGCTTAGGATGTTCTAGCCATATGGAGAAGACATGTGTTTTACATTAAGGTCCTATGGTAAAACCTTGCTTGAGGCCATATTTGTAGTAGGCTTGATTTTGAATGAAGTTTAACAGCTGTCTTCCTCTTGATTACCCAGAACTGAACTGTTGGAGTGCCTAGGAGACAGTGATTTCCTTGCCAAACTCCACTGCATTCGACAGGCTTTTCAGGTATTTTTCAACATTAAAGCTATGTTACCTAGGCTGTCAGGCTATCCAGTGTGCATGCCCAGGACAATTCTGGCTCTGTTAAAAATCCTCCCTGCCACTTTGGCATCAGCCTTTCCCACAGCCACCATGTCTCCTCACTTTTAGTATAGGATGTTTGTTGCTGCAGGTGGGAAAACATTGCTTGAGAGCCTTTGTTATTATCAGTTAAAATGAATTGAGTTTGTTATAACAATAATTGATTTTCTAAGAAAAAATATGGTCAAGTAATACTAAAATGTCTAGTACATTGGGAGGGTTATATAAAACATTTTAGATTTCTAGTGGTATCAAGCAGAATTTAAGTTCAAATTATTACCCTTTAATATTTGTTGATTATAGGTTTCAAGAACTTTTTTATTTTAGTAAATTCTGACTTCTCTGTGGTGTCTCTGTTGCCATAATACATATGAATTGCAGTAATTGTATGAATGTGCTATAAAGATGGCTGCCCATTCAGATGCGTTATAGGACTCTTTTTTTTTTTTTTGTACTTTTTTACTTTGGGGATGATTTTTTTTCCCAGGTAATTCTTTCGGAAACAGCCAACAGGATATTCCTTGCTGAAAGTGGAAGGAAAATTTTATCAGCTTTAATTGTGAAGGCACGAAAGGTATACTTGTAAGCAAGTTAAAAAATTATTGTTCTGTTTAATGATTAAAACACATCAATTTTTTCTTTCAACATGGAAAAAAAGATGTCATTTGTGGGCTAGTAAATTCAAAATATCAATGGTTTTTAATTGAAGCACAACAAATTATTTTTTTATTTTTTTGGGGGGGGTTCAGTTGTGGGGCCTGAACTCTGGGCCTGGGTGCTGTCCCTCAGCTCTTCAGCTCAAGGTAGTCCCCTACCACTTGAGCCACAGTGCCACTTCCGGCTTTTTTCTTTTTTGCTTATGTGGTGCTGAGGAATCAAACCTGAGGGCCTCATGCATGCAAGGCAAGCGCTTTACCATTGAGCTACCTTCCCAGCCCCATAACAAATTTTTTTGTAGTTTCAGATAGTGTTTAGATAGTTTTAATATTTTTAGATAGTTGGAAAGGTCCACATATTAAAAACAATGCAACTGAGCCAGGCTCCAGTGGTTCAAAGCCAACCTGGGCAGGAAAGTCCATGAGACTCCAATAAAGTGCTGTGGCTAAAGTGGTACTGTGTTAGCCCTGAGCTGATAGCTGAGGTCCAGTGCACAGGCCCAGAGTTCAAGCCCGACAACTGACAAATAAATAAATAAAATGCAACTGCGCAGTGCCAGTGGCTCATACCTGTAATCCTAGCTACTCAGGAGGCTGAGATCTGAGCATCTGAGGCAATCCAGGATCTGAAGCCAATCCAGGCAGACAAATCTTAGAGAATTTTAGCTCTAATTATTCAGCAAAAAGCTGGAAATGGAGGTATGACTCAAGTGGTAAAGCACCATTGGTAATGAAAAAGCCAAGTGAAAGCTTGAGGTCTTGAATTCAAGCCTAAGTACCACTACCCACAAATAAATAAATAATTAAAAATAAACATAATACAAGGGTTGAGTGTGGTGGTACACACCTGCAATCCTAGTACACAGGAGGCATAGATTGGGAGAATCACATTTTGAGGCCAGCCTAGGCAAAAAATTAGCAACAAACAAACTAGGTAGAGTGGTATATGCCTATAATCCAGTGTACAAAGGAGGCATAAGTAGAAGGATGATAGTTTAAAGATCCTCTGGGCAAAAACACCATGAAACCCTGCCCAGCACTGGTGGCTCACTCCTACAATTCTAGCTACTTAGGAAGCTGAGGTCATAAGATTATGGTTAAAGCCAGCCTGGGCAGGAAAGTCTGTGAGACTTTTATCTCCAATTAACTACCAAAAGGCTGGAAATGAAGATATGGCTCAATGGTAGAGTGCTATCCTTGAGCACAAAAGCTTAGCGACACTGTCTAGATGCTTAGTTCAAGCCCCAGAACCAGCACCACCACAAACCACAAACAAAAACCCATGAGATCCTATCTAAAACACAAGCATGTCAGGTGCCCTTGGCTCATGCCTCCATGCCTGCAGTCCTAACACCTTGAGAGTCAGAGAACAGGAAGTTTGTGGTTTGAGGCCAATATGAAGAAAGTTCTGAAGACCCCCACTCAACAAAATAAACAAACAAACAAAAACAAAACGAGACATGGTGGTACGCACTTGTTATCTCAGCAATGCTGGGAGACCTCAACGGAAAAGTCTGAGTGTGGTGACATGCACCTGTCATCTCAGCTGTGGTGGGAAGCATAAATAGGAAGATAATAGTCCCAGCCAACCTGGGAAAATAGTAGACCTTATCACAAAAACAGCCAGAGCAAAAAAAGAACTGGGTGCCAGTGGCCCATGACTGTTCCTAGCTACTCAGGAGGCTGAGATCTGAGGATCGTGATTTGGGCAGAAAAGCCCATGAGACTCTTACCTCCAATTAATCACTCAGAAAAGGCCAGAAGTAGTGCTGTGGCTCAAGTGGTAGAGCACTAGCCTTGAGCACAAAGAGGCTCAGGAACAACACCCAAGCCCTGAGTTCAAGCCCCAGGACTGACAAAAAAAACCTGGAGGCATATCTCAAATGGTAGAGCATCTGCATACCAAGCATGAAGCATTGAGTTTAAATCCCCACCAAAAAAAAAAAAAGTAATCCAAAGATCTTTGATTTATGCTTGGATTATTTATTTACTTATTTATTTTTGGTCGTGGGCCTTGAACTCTGGGCCTGGACACTGTCCCTCAGCTCTTCAGCTCAAGGCTAGCGCTCTACTGCTTGAGCCACAGCGCCACTTCCACTTCTGGCTTTTTCTGTTTATGTGGTGCTGAGGAATTGAACCCAGGGCCTAATGCATGCAAAGCAAGCACTCTGCCACTGAGCCACCTTCCCAGCCCACTTGGCTTATTTTCTGTATAGAAAGTCCATATCCTTTTAACCAAATTGTTTCTTATAAATTATTCAAAATTTGCCATAATGTCTGTAAATGTCATGATGAGATCCTTCCTTGGATCTGCTATTATTAGCACTATTTGTGATACCTCATCTCTTGTCTCCCACAATCCTGCCCAGGACCTCCAAGGGACAAGACATAGTATATTCAGAAATCTGGAATACAAATTGAGTCTTACTTTCCTTTATCCTCTTAGGTCTGAAGGAAACAGTGACAACCACTTCATTCTGATACTAAATAGTCACTTTATTGTCATCAGGATTATTCAGATGATGAGAAAAAAAAATCAAAACAAAACAGGCCTTCCTTACACCATTTGCTCACCTGGTTTTCAGATCAGTTCCCTCAGTTTTACAGTAGAATTAGATATATCATTTACTGTATTTTAGAATGTTGTAATGGTGATTAAATAAATAGGAAAGTAATACAACATATAAAGTGTTAAGTAAATGTAGATCTTCTATTGCTTTCTTGGCCTTCCAAAGCAAATAAATAGAAAGGTTTGAAGTGGAGTGTCTCCAGGAGGAGCAGCTGCGTCAGGAGCCTCCTTTAGCCTCTGCTGTAATCACATGCTCCTCATAGCTTAACCTCAACAGGCACACATATCTGAGTAATAAAGGATTTGCTGTGACTTTTTACTAACTCTCATTCTTGGCGTCTGAACAGTAGAACAGCAAAATAGTAAGAGGATAGTAAATAATTTCACAGCCTTTAAAAATGTTGTCTAATTTGGTTATCTGAAATAAGACCAGCTAATTTACTTGAAGAGTAATTCGTTTACTTCATAGGCCTGGGTATTGTTATAAAGTTGAGTTTAAGAATGAAATGTGTTTTCTTCTGCAGAATCCCAAGAAGTTTGAAGATGTTTTTGATGAAATGATCTATTTTTTAGAGCAGACTGATCACTGGGATAGTACTGAAATGGAACTTGCTGCTAGAGGGGTAAATTCAAATTTGCATGTAATATTCCTTCCACTTATTTACCTGAATGGAAGCCACTGTGTGTTTGTCCCCAAACAAGAGTAAAACTAATTGTGCAGTGATAAAACAGCATAATTTTTCTGTTGTCATGAACAACAGCAATGATACTCTTTATACAGTGGGTCAAGTGTTGTAAATAATTGTTTTTATAAAGCCCTGAAGGAACTAGTAAGAATTGACTTTGGGATTTATCAAGATAAAGGTAACTGAAAGATGCTTATTTTATTTATTATTATTTATTTATTTATTTTGCTGGTCGTGGGGCCTGAACTCTGGGCCTGGGCGGTGTTCCTCAGCTCTTCAGCTCAAGGCTAGCGCTCTACCACTGAGCCACAGCACCACTTCCAGCTTTTTCTGCTTATGTGGTACTGAAGACTCGAACCCAGGGCCTCATGCATGCAAGGCAAGCGCTCTACCACTGAGCTACCTTCCCAGCCCAAGAGGCTTATTTTTAGTAATAAATGTATTTTAAAAATAAGCCTTTCTAGCTGGTCACATATGTTCATATCTATAAATGTTAGCTACTCAGGATCTGAGGATCCAGGTTTGGAGCCAGCCTGGGCAGAAAAATCTATGGCATCCTTATCTCCATTTAACCACAGAAAGCCAGAGTGGAGCTGTAGCTCAAGTGGTAGACTATTAAATTAGTCGTGAGCAGAAAAGCTAGGGAAGTTTAAGAGGCCCACACTTCAAGCCTGAGTTCAGTACTGGCACAAAACTAAAACCAAAACAAAAAGCAAGTGATAGAAGCAAAGTATCAGTTGGTTAAGCACTGAAAGGCATACTAGGCAAAGGAAAAGTAGGTACAAATATTCTTTTCTTCCCTAGTGTTCCCTCGCTCAGGAATAGAATCAACCTCCATCCAGTTCTGCAGCCCAGAAACCTGAGATTCACCATTCTCCCCTCCCTGGTCTTCACCACTTTCCATATTCATCTCTAAGTACAGTCAGTGCTAACTTCCAAAACTGTTAGCCCTTCTCTCCATTCTTGCAACCTCTATCTTGCCCTAAGTGTCTAGAGCCTTCTGTAATATGCCTCAGAATCTTTGTATTCTGATTTCTTGCCCTCTGCCGTCCTTCCTGAATTAGCTTTCCCCACTTTATTCCCCTCCTCACATTTCTACCAGAATTATCACCCATCTCCTCCTACCATCACCACCCTCCCTTTCCCTCCTCCCTAAGTATTTCAAGTACTTTGAAGAATGAATTAAAAATTCTTTTCATGGGCCGGGTGCTGGTGGCTCATGCCTGTAATCTCCGGAGGCTGACATTTAAGGATTGTAGGTTGAAGCCAGCCAGGCCAATAAAGTCTGTGAGACTCATCTTTAGTTAACCACTAGAAAACTAGAAGTGGCTGAAAGTGGTAGAATGCTAGCCTTGAGCAAAAAAGCTCAGAGACAGCACCCAGGCCCTGAGTTCAAGCCCCACAATCAACATCAACAACAACAACAATTCTTTTCATGGGACATAATTCCCTTCCTGCTTGTTTCCCATTGTTTTCTTGTGCTCTCTGTTGTCAGTTCAACACCACTGTGTTCCTTCGTAGCTTAGTATCTAGCAGGAGTTTCCTCTTCTTAAAAGGCACACTCCCTGCTATCCAGCTTAAAAAAATCAGAACCTCCACTTTATTCTTATTGTGCTTCTCAGAGTGTGTAATCAGATATTTGCTGCCATCTGTCTTCTCCACTATAGACTGTAGGCATGTAGTTGGTTTCCTGTGGAAGTGTGAGCCACTGGTACAGCCTGTGGGAGACCGCAGTGTGCACAAGTGCATGGTAAATAGGAAGGACAGGCACACATAGCAAAGCAGGCTGAGCAGAATGGATGCTCTAACGGAAGCACCAGTGGAGGATTGCAAAACCAGAAAGTGAGGGTATTAATTTCACTTGCTGGGACCTAGGAAGGAGCAGATGACATGTGGATTGTAATTTCTCCTGGCTAGTTTTCATGTTTGTCTCCCTTTCTGTCAGAGATACAATCTGACCAGCTCAAAAAAGCCATGTCGTTTTATAGTGTAAAATCTGGGATCAGAGTTTAGTTGAGCTCTGTCATAACAATCTCTATTTTAATACAGGTGAAAAATCTAAATTTTTATGATGTTGTTCTGGATTTTATATTAATGGATTCTTTTGAAGATTTAGAAAACCCACCAACTTCCATACAGAATGTAGTAAATAATCGCTGGCTAAACTCTTCCTTCAAAGAAACTGTAAGTGAACCATTCATTTAAATTAAGTGAAAAATGGTTAGAAAGGAGAAAATCAGATATATATGTATATCTGCCTATGGAGTAGCTAATGAGGAAACTGATCTCTTCTTTTGACATTGGAGGTGCATTATATACTATATAATACCTTTCAGAGGAAGCTGTCCTTTTGTAGCTGTACGTGGTGATTTATGCTTATAATCTTAACACTTGGTAGGCTGTTGCAGGAAGATGGTGAGTGTGAGGCCAGCCTGAGCTACAGAGAAGGAGACTGTTCAAAACTCAAAAAAGCCAAACACAGTGGCTCACGTGTATAATCTACAGCATCTTTAAATCTTTAATCTCCAGGTGACAGGATTAGGAAGATGGTGATCTGAGTTTAGCCTTGGGGTGGGGGAATCACAAGACCCTATCTGAAAAAAATACCTAAAGCAAAAGAATGGGGGTGGGGACTGGGGTAGGGCTCAAGTGGTAATGCACTTGTCCAGCAAGTATGAAGCCCTGAATTTAAACTGTGTTTCCCTTCCTTCCAAACAAATTAGCATTTTGGCTTTTCCACCAGTCATATCCCTATCATGGAGGTTAAAAAAAATATTGTTCTTTTTTTTTGACACAAGGTTTAATTATATAGGCTGGCATAGAACTCTTGATCCTCTTGCTTCAACCTCCTGAGCGTTTTGGATTATGTGTTTTTAAGGGAGGCCTAGAAAACCTCAGCCAAGTCCATGGATTTAATTAATTCCTAGTACCACTAGAAGAAAAGGAGAGAGAAAAATATAGAGACTTATGTTTCTAAATTCTGTCAAAAATTATAAGAAAAAATAGGCAGATGCACAAATAAGGCAAGTTTAAACTATACATTGAATGTTTTCATTTTCTGTTTTTTATATTCAAATCTCTATTTTACAGTTGGCAGCTTCAAAATTATTTTGAGACTTCCTAATACTAAACTAAAATATTTGAAAAGTATTTTTTCTTCAATAAAGTACATTTTAATTGTAAGAAAGTGAATGTTCTTCATTTTTTAAACAGATTTGGTAAAGTAACATTGATGAAAGTTGGGTCATGCCAGAGTAGGCTAAGGTTTCTTCAGAATTCACTAATGACATTTTATTTTTGCGTTGTCATGGTTGTAATTTCTTAGTTCTTAGATAAAACTTTAACTTTATGCATAAATGTTTCAACAGTATTATTTCTGAAGGAGAAAATAAACTTTTCATTATACATTATATGTATCTGTGTATGTGCATCTATGTTTATACATGTTCAGTATTTTCCCACATCGAAAATATAAGAACTCTTGAAAATTAAGTTGTAATTGCCAAGGTCACTGGTTGCAGAGTTCATCAATCATTTTCTTTTTCTTGATTTGTATTTCATTTTTAAATTTATAAAAATGAAGTACTGTTTTTGTGCTAGGGTTTGGATGCAGCCTTATGCTTGCTAGACAGAAAAATGTCCTTTCACATTAATATTTGTAAAAAATATAAGAAGTCTACCCTTGTTCTGTTTGTTTATTTTGCTTTAGATTTTTGTTCGGGTTTAGTTTTATGCCAGTAGTGGAACTTGAATTCTGGGCCTGGACACTTTCCCTTAGCTTTTTTGCTCAAGAATAGTACTTGGCCACTTTTGGCTTTTTAGTGGTTAATTGGAAATAAAAGTCTCACAGACTTTGCTACTTGAGCTGGCTTCAAACTGCAATCTTCAGAGCTCAGCCACCTGAGCAGCTGGGATTATAGGCATGAGCCACAGGCACCTGGCTTGGTTTAGGCTTGTTTATTTGTTTTGTTTTATAGGGTGGGGGGACATGTAGCCATGCTGTCTTTGAACTTGTAATTCTTCTGCCTCACCCTCCCGAATATGAATATTGGGATTACAGGAGTTAGTTGCTAATTTTTGTAATAAGTTTGAATTAAGCTTTAAATTCTAATTTAAATAATCAGTCTTTCCTCTTCTTCATATATTTAGGCTGTGGCTTCAAGTTGTTGGTCGGTACTGAAACAGAAAAGGCAGCAGATGAAGGTAACATTCATTGTGCTCTGGATTCTCAGCTGAGTGTATTTTCTGTTGCTCTAATGGAATACCTCAAGACTGGGTAATTTTTGTAAGGAAAAAAGGTTTATTTAGCTCATGTTCTTAGACTGAAAAGTCGAAGATCTACCAGTGACATCTATAAGGACTTTGTGCTGCTTCAACTCATGAGGGAAAGCAGAAAGGCAAGCAGGCCTGTGTAAAACAGTCAGCCCATCAGGGATAGTCTTCCTTTATAACGCCGGTTCTTGTGGTGTCTACTGCCATGTGAAGACAAGAAGATTCTCATTGGAAAAAGGCAGCATCTATCCCTGAGGGCTTCACCTCATGACCCAAACATTTCCCACTAGGCCCTACTTAATGCTGCTGCATTGGGAACCAAACCTCAACACAATTTTGATAGAGACAAACTATATCCAAACCAAAGCAATCCTTCTGTGAAATAATTTGAGGAACCTGTCAGTGAAACGTTTAAATTGGTGCATGTCTGGCTATGGCAGTGAATAATGGGAACTCCCTCGTAAGTTAGATAAAGGACTTATCAGTACTGGGTGTTTTCTGAAGGCTTTCTCTCTTTTCCTTATTACTCTGTGTAGTTCAGTACAGTAAGTGTTGAGGCATGTCTGGAATTTCACCTAAGTGGGAGCAGATTTAGGGTTGAAAATAGCTCTAGAAGTGCTTTTGGTATTTTGGTTTTTCATTTAATGGTATCAATATTAAAAAATTTTAAATACAGATGCCTCTACTTGATATAATCCAATTGAGGAATAATGATTGGCTTAGAATAACTGCTTTACTGAATTCAAAGCCCCACAAAAAAAAAAAAAAAGTCACAGAATCCTGTCTCTGTGGTCCATACCTTCTGGCCAATCTCTTCCATCAAGCATTGCTCTCACCACAAATGATTAGTGTGACCTCTGCAGCGAGACTGCCTGAGTTTCAGTGCTACTTTACTAGCCATGTGGCCTTGAACAAGTTGCTTAATTTCTCTGTGCCTCTGTTTCCATGTCTCTGAAAAAGACATTTTAAGATTCAGCTTAAAGTGCTTAGGGCTAGGGTTGTAGCTCAGTGATAGAGCACTTACCTAGCATACACAAAGGCTCTAGCACTCCCAAAGAAAACAAGAACGTATTTTTGTGTAAATGCCTAGAAAAGTGATGGATATAGCATGTGCTTCTTATTACTAGATTGTGTATTGCTCAAGGACTTAAAGTGTTTTACCCTATCCTTGTATTTTTTAAAAATATATTTTCCAGTGTAGGTCCTTGGGCCTGAACTCAGGGCCTGGGCACTCTCCATGAACTTTATTGCTCAAAGCTAGTGCTCTACTGCTTGAGCTCCATTTTGGCTTTTTGGTGGTTAATTGAAGGTATGAGTTTCATGGACTTTTCTGCCTGGGCTGGCTTCAAATTCAGTCCTCAGATCTCAGCCTCCCAAGTAGCTAGGATTACAGGTGTGAGCCACCAGCACCCAGCCCTCACCATGTATTGTTTGTTTTTTGGGGGGGCAGGAGGGGGGTCATGGGGCTTGAACTCTCGGCCTGGGCGCTGTCCCTGTGCTCTTCAGCTCAAGGTGAGCACTCTACTGCTTGAGCCACAGCACCACTTCCAGTTTTCTGGTGGTTTATTGGAGATAAGAGTCTCACAGACTTTCCTGCCTGGGCTGGCTTTGAACCATGACCTCAGATCTCAGCCTCCTGAGTAGCTAGGATTATAAGCATGAGCCACCGGTGCCTGGTTTCACCATGTATTTTTATGAGATGAAAATGCCCTATGGGGGCTGGGAAGGTGGCTCAGTGGTAGAGCGCTTGCCTTGCATGCATGAGGCCCTGGGTTCGATTCCCCAGCACCACATAAGCAAAAAGAAAAAAAAGCCGGAAGTGGCGCTGTGGCTCAAGTGGTAGAGTGCTAGCCTTGAGCTGAAGAGCTGAGGGACAGCGCCCAGGCCCAACGTTCAGGCCCCACAACCGGACCCCCCCCCAAAAAAAAAAGAAAAAAAAGAAAATGCCCTATGGAAAATGATATTTCTCTACAGATAAGAAACAATTGGCTAAGGTACAAAATCTACATGAAAACATTGTTTGACTCTAAATGTTACTTGTATGTTTATTAATTTTCCTAATAGGCTAGCTGGTGATGATTGTTGGTCTGCCCTGGACAGAGCTGCTTGTAGGAAGAGTAACAATTTCAGTTTTTCTACTGGAGAAAGCAAGTACTACAAGATAACAACTTGATTCTCATTTGTTTCCCCGCAGATCTCAGATGGATTTTTTGCCCACTTTTATGCCATTTGTGAACATATAAGCCCTGTTCTGGCCTGGGGTTTTTTGGGTCCTAGAAATTCTCTCTATGACTTATGTTGCTTCTTTAAGGTAGGTGCTTTTTTTTTCTAAACCAAAAAGCAGATAAGGTTTTATTTTTCTGTTTTGTTTGAGCTTCTGTAGAAAAAGAATATTATTTCGGGGCTGGGAAGGTGGCTCAGTGGTAGAACGCTTGCCTTGCATGCCTGAGGCCCTGGGTTCCATTCCTCAGCACCACATAAGCAGGAAAAAAAAAAGCCAGAAGTGGTGCTGTGGCTCAAGTGATAGAGTGCTAGCCTTGAGCTGAAGAGCTGAGGGACAGCGCCCAGGCCCAGAGTTCAGGCCCCATGACCAGACCCCCCAAAAAAAGAAAAAGAATATTATTTAAGAGTAAAGTTACAAAAGTCATCTAATTTCAGTTTTTAACTGCAGTATTAAATTTGTGACACTTTATAGTACTATGATTACAGAGACATTGCTTTGTAGGTTTGTTCCTTTATTCTAGAATAGACCTGTCGAGTTCATTCAATTATTAGCTTATTCTGTTGAGCAAAAGAGCTCAGGGACAGTGCCCAGTCCTTGAGTTCAAGCCCTAACATGTAATATTGTCATGTTAAAATGGCACTTGGGAAGTACTATCATTAAATTATATCTGTCTATATTGTGCATGTCTAATATAGAAATAAATTCTGGTTTAAGGTACATAATTGAGGAATGACATGGGAGTGTAAAGTTCCATACTGATGTCAGAATATATGTTTGACAAAACACTAGTTATACTCATTATGGTATTTTCTGGCTAGTAGAGTGCCAGAGAAATGTTATTTTTATCTGATTTTAATCTGAGTTGTTTTTGTGTGTTGTGTGTATGTGTGTATGTGCAAGTCCTGAGACTTTGAAGTCTTTGGTGCTGTCCATGTGCTTTGTTGCTCAAGGCTAGTGTTCTACCACTGGAGCCAGAGCTCTGTGTCCAGCTTTTTTCTGGTTAGAGATAAGAGTTCCATAGCCTTTCCTGCTCAAGCTGGCTTTGAACTGCATCATGAACCTCAGATCTCAGCCTCCTGAGCAATTATGGGTGTATGCTCAGTGCCTGGCTATGATCTGAGTTTTAAGGATCAAATAATAATAAATATAATTGAGTATGAATTTGAAAGTTCAGGTGTTTTATTATGGTACTCACTTTTCAATTGTGCCTATGTGCTATTAATAAAGTATTTGCATAAATGGTTTAGGAAATGTTTATTTTCTGTCCTTCAGTTAAGTTTTGGCTAGTTTACTTTACCTTCCAAATGTTGGATATCTATTTTAGTGGGAAAAAAAATTAGCCCTGGGAATGCAGTCTGCCACTGAATAACTGGGGAGGAATCATTCCTTGGTTCCCTCTCCTTCCTCTGTAAAATGAAAGGACTTGGTAAAAAGCAATCCCAGCATTCTGGGAATCTGGGAAATATTCCTTTGTCTTGAAGCATTTAGCTTCAAGAAGACATTTGAGGCACTGTGTGTTACTCTTTGAGAATGGCTTTTTCTTTCCTATCATGATTAACAGCTGAGATTTCATACTTAATCATACCTAGCATACTTAAAATGGCCTGCAGCATAAGTATTAATTTACTGACATGAAATATTCTTCAATTGGCCACTTCATTTTAGACCTGAAATTATTATTTTTATTTATTTTGTGTTTTGTACAGAAAATGTACATTTAACATTGATGATTATTGAAATAGTTTATTCCTTTGTCTTAAAGTAATGTCAAACTGGGTGCTGGTGGCCTGGGTGCTGGTGGCTCAGCCTGTAATCCTAGCTACCTAGGAGGCTGAGATTTAAGGATTATTAATCAAAGCCAGCCTAGGCAGGAAAGGCTGTGAGACTTTATCTCCAGTTAACCATAAGATAACTGGAAGTGGTGCTGTGGTAGAGTGCTAGCCTTGAGCAAAAGAGCTCAGGGACAGTCCCTGAGTTCAAGCCCTAAACAACAACAACAACAAAAGTAATGTCAATTCAGTGCACAGAGGTAAGAATGAAAGATTATAACTAGGCCCTTACATTTACATGGTACTTCAGGGTTACAAGCACTTCTTATTCTTTTCTTCTACTTGGTACCCTGGCTTGAACTCAGGCCTTCTTGCTTATGTTCTATCACTTGAGCCACACCTCCAGTTGTTGTTGTTGTTTTTGTTTAATTGGGATTGAGCCTCACAGATTTTTCTGCCCCAGCTGGCTTTTAACAGAGATCCTCCAGATCTCACTTCTGTGGCTAGATTACAAGCAGAAGCCACCAGTGTCCAGCTATGTGTAGAGGTTTCTTTTTTGTTGTTCGTTTGTTTGTCTTGTGCTACTACTGGGGCTTAATCTCAGAGCCTTGTGTGCTCATTTTGCTTTTCTGTCTGGGCTGGCTGTGAACCTCAAACCTTAGATTTCAGCTTCCTGAGTAGCTAGGATTATAAGCATGAAATGCCAGCTACTGACTCAGACTGTATATTTTGATACCATCTGCCCTTAGGAATAAGTAGAACAAATGGTATTATCCCATATTTTAAAGGAAAAGAAGACTCAAAGAAAATTGAAGAGACAAAGATTACATGTTCCTTTGTCCAAGATCCCTTATGCAGTGAGACCTGAAAGTGGACCTGAAACTAAGATATTTTGGCTTCTGGTTCAATGTTTACTAGAGTATTAGTAACTCTTTATTATATTTAAAGTTATTTTGGCCTAACGATTATCAGTTTGTTTTGTGTTCATTTTCCAGAATCAAGTTCTATTCTTTCTCAAAGACATTTTTGACTTTGAGAAGGTGCGCTATTCAAGTATAGAGACTTTGGCTGAAGACCTCATGCAGTTACTCATTCGTCGCACTGAACTTTTAATGGCCTATCTGGGAGCAGATGCTCTGAGACAAACCAATAGCTGTACAAGCAGTCACACTCATGTTATGTCCAGTGGGCTCTTGGAAGGCAAAGTGCAGTAACTACTACCAGAATCATACAGTTTGAGAGAGTTAGGAAATGTTTCAAGGTGACTGTTGGTTTTGTCACTTTCATTGTAAAATCAACAGCATAGATACATGCAGTGGACTCAGGGAAGAAAAAGAAACTCATAGATAATGAGTGACTATACTGCACTTAAACAGAAATCATCATTGAATCTTTGTGTACTGTATCCAGAGCAACTTTTAGCAATCTACAGGCAGTAATTTAGGTGGTGAAATGTTCTATATTTTGTAAGAATATTGCTTGAACTGAAGCCAGTACTTGGAAGTTAAATGATTTATTGTCTTCACACTGTCTGAAATGTCTAGTACCAGTCTCAAAACCTCGGGTTTTATGCTTTGCACCTTGAAAACACATTTAAGTCCAGGCCTACACATTTAAGAATATACTGCTGTCAGTGTCAACATATTTAACTTCGTCTGAAAATGTATTTTAACTGCCAAATTAGTCATTTGTTTAATCAGATTTAAGCAACAGTGATGTTTAATATGTACTGCTTACAGTATGGCTTGTATATTTGCAGATGTATTTGAATCAGAGAAATTGTAATTGCTGTGTATTGTTATACAATAGTTAAATGGATTGACATTAAGAAGTTTACAATTTATATTTCATGTTAAATTGACTGTAGCTTCTCAAAAATATTTGGGAACTCTTGTTCCTATTAGTCAATGATGGAGACTGGAGTACTTTTTGCCTTTTTTATAAATTAGAATTTGTGTTTTTTTTTGAATGAATATTGATTTAAAAGATAACACGTATCCAACCTTTTTTATTGTAGTTTTGAGACTAGCATCCAACATCTAAGGCATTGACCTTGATATAATAAAATAATGTCTCCTTTTCCTTCCACAAGACAGGCTTTTACTTAGGGCCACTGGGAACTCAGTAGCATATTGGGAACTTATTGTATTTTTCCCCTATTTTAATTTATCCATGCTTTGAATCTAAGGCGGTTTTTGTTTATTTGCTTGTAATGCGTGTGTTTGAGCCAAGGCCTGGTGCGTGCTAGGCAAGCACTCTACCACTGAGCTTCATCTCAGCTCTGAATCTTAGGGTTTTAAGAAGGTTTTATGTTTTGGGGGGGTTTTCCCTCGACTATAAACAAACTATTTTGAATGATATGAAAGTATATTTTGCATCCTTTCTGATAAATATATGCACAAATAGCTTGTTCATTGGAAGGTCTTCAGAGTGTATGAGATACTTTGTGAGCCACATTCACTTCTTTTTAAATTATATGCCACATGTCTGAAGCAGCTGACTCAGTGTACATGGTAGTGGATTAGATTTGCCGATTTTGCTCCTAAAAAGAGCTCTGTTCATTTTAAATGAATTACATCAGAAGGATCTGAAATGCATTTCAACTAAAGTGCCTATAGTTGGGTTTGTGAAGAGGAGTGCAAAAAGCATAATTTTTTAAGGTTTTCAATTTATGTATGTGCCATAATTATGTAGTTACAAAATATAAAATTCAGAATCATTTCAGCAGAAGCATTAAACATGGACTATTCACTCTCATTGTTTTTGAGTATACAGCTTCCTGAAGTTTTTTTTTCAGATTTTTTTACTATAATAGTTGTACAGAGGAGGGTTCATTGTGACATTTCTGTACATGCATACAGTTGTACCCTAATTAAATCCACCCCTTCTATCTCTGTCCCTCTATCTTCTCTCCCATTCTTAAAACAATTTTAATGTGTTTCATTGTTCTGTTTTCATATATGCCTATGAAATTTACTTTGACCATTTTCACCAACCTTCACTTTCTCTGTTATTTCTCTTCACTCCCACTGATATGTTTTCTAACTTAATAATTGCCTAGTTATAATTCTTACTGATGGAAGATTAAATGTACCAAATGAAAAATATCACTACGTAATGTTTAACTTCGTACTTTAGTAGTAGGTGTTTTTACTTTATTGTTGAGGTATCATTGACACACATACATGAGTGCATAGATATTGGTTTCCACCACCATGACATTCAAGACAGTTAAGTACATTAACTTACTCATCTGAAGGCTCACATTTTGTGCTGTGTTTTTCAACATAGGGATAAGTAAACTGTTTATTAATGCTGCTATTATCTGAGGTAACTCTGGGGAATGCATGTCATCAGGTAAGGTAAATGGCTTTCCAAAGTGTCTTAACTTTCCCCCCTTTTGTGTTTCAGCTAAACGAATAAAAAATGCCCATCTTCAGGAATTTAATTTGTCAAATTCAGTGCTTAAGTTTGGGTAGTAATTGGTTGACTCAGTAGCTACCGCATTAGCAAGATGCTTTCTTTGTGGCCTTTGACAAAGAGGTAAGAATGACCAAATAGAATTTCAGGGCAGTGAGCATAGTTTGACAAAGCCTCTTTATTGTTGAGTGAAGATACTTGACTTTTTTAAAGGAAGCATCCCCAACATTTCTGACTGCAGAAGAGTAGTTAGACATGCTGACCAGTTTTCATTTGCCTTAAAACTGGATTAAACAGAACAGTAGTGCTTTAAAAACAATTCATTATTGCTATTCAATAAAAACAATTATTATTTTTTGGGGGGGGTCCGGTCGTGGGGCCTGAACTCTGGGCCTGGGCGCTGTCCCTCAGCTCTTCACCTCAAGGCTAGTCCTCTACCACTTGAGCTAAAGCACCACTTCCAGCTTTTTTTTTTCTGTTTATGTGGTGCTGAGGAATCAAACCCAGGGCCTTGAGCATGCAAGGCAAGCGCTCTACCACTGAGCCACCTTCCCAGCCCTGGAAAAGCAATTATTTTTAAATGATTAATCTAAAGCCTTTTAGAGAAGAACCCTATTTAATACGTATTCCTGGTGGTATTATCCAAAAATTAAACTGCCAAAATGGCTGCCATTGGCTTCTATGTGTAATTATTATAAAGAGGGCTTTTTCCTCCTTTTTGGAAGAAAAAATACAGGTGTTCAGGTGATTTACATCTGATATTTATTCTTTTTTCTATTTTGGTTTCTCTATATTTTTGTTTAACTAAACAAGTAATTATTGTTTCTAAAAGTTAACAATGCACTTCTTAAATGTCCAATTGAACCATTTTTTTTTAAAAAAAGAAGCCAGGTTTCCATACTGTTAGGGTCAGCTCCAAAGAATTTCCTGTTTCTCATGAAGTAGTTATTATTTTCATCTATTAGTGATGCTTCTATTCATTTGTTCAATATAAAAAGTATTTACAAATGTTTTCTTGCTTTAAGATATAACATTTTCTACTTACTTGCCAAGTGATTATTTACTTTACAGAGCATTCTGTTTATTTTTCCTTCAAGCCTAGGAAATAGAAATGCCAAACTAATACTTAATTTACTTCTGTAACCTTTCATAATGAGAAATTTAAAATTATGCTTATAGCCCACTTTCATTTATTTTAATGTATGTACTCAGAAATTAGTTGGGATGTAAATTTCAAAGTGATTACAAACATTAAACTGAATTCAAATCCTTTTTCACTTGAATTATCAAGAAGTATATATGTACGATTTATGTTACAACAATACGATAAATGGAAATAAAGACATCCTTTTTACCTAGTAATTATGACATTATTGTTTTGTTTTAGGATAGTCATATTTTAGCTTCTCTTGGCTGATCTCAGTAAATGTATGCATTGCTTCAGTGTAAGGACTGAACTTATTAATATGTCTAAAAGTAAAGCACTACAATAGCAGAAAAAATAGCACTGATTCTCTAACTGAAATAATCATTGTCATGTGGATGTATCTCTACTGCCAAATAAAAAAGCAATGGTACCATTTGGTGACGTATTGCCTATTGTGAACAATGTGTGTATGACTGAGGTCCCAGCTGCCTCCTAGACACCGTGAGGAAGGCACTCAGTTGACAAAGCATGCATATAAGCACAGACCACTCTGCTGTAGGAGCCCAAAAGCTAAATATGAAATACTACAAATTGGGCTGGGAAGGTGGCTCAGCGGTAGAGCGCTTGCCTTGCATGCATGAGGCCCTGGGTTCGATTCTTCAGCACCACATAAGCAAAAAAGAAAAAAGCTGGAAGTGGCGCTGTGGCTCAAGTGGTAGAGTGCTAGCCTTGAGCTGAAGAGCTGAGGGACAGCTCCCAGACCCACAACAGGACCCAAAAATAAATAAATAATAAAATAAAAATAAAATCCTACCAAATCTTACCTTCATGAACTACCATGAAAAAAGCACAGTTTTCCCCTTGTTTCCTTACTGTTTCTTTTTCTTTTTGGGGGGGGGTCCGGTCATGGGGCCTGAACTCTGGGCCTGGGCGCTGTCCCTCAGCTCTTCAGCTCAAGGCTAGCGCTCTACCACTTGAGCCACAGCACCACTTCCGGCTTTTGTCTGTTTGCTTATGTGATGCTGAGGAATTGAACCTAGGGCCTCATGCATTCAAGGCAAGCGCTCTACCACTGAGCCACCTTCCCAGCCCCATCCTTACTGTTTCTTACCCATGTCTGAGTCGACTTTTTTTCTGCACTATCCTTCCTACCTCCTGAGGCCTTGAATACATTTCCCTGACACTTCTTACCCTGGCTTTCCTCTCTTTCTTTCTCAGTTGCTGACATCTTTGATCAGGCAGCACATGCTTTTTGGTCCGCTGGAGTTCTTTGGCTTTTCCTCCATCTAAACAGTTAAAACCTCTACAGTAACATTATTATGTGGGCAGGGAAGGCTGGAAAAGAAAAGGCAAACCTTCCTTCTATGACACTTGTTATTCTCTACTTAAAAGCAATGACAAGGCAGTGGCAACATCAAATACCAGCCCAGCGTTTTGCTTTGAACTGTGCCTTATGTGTGTCACAGAGGCTTTCACGTAAAGTACATTTATAAATAGAAAGTTACAGAGCTTGGATAATTTGCTATGTATGAAATATCATCCTTGAATGTGGAGAATCACTTTGACATCTGAAAGCAATTGAAATAAACACCTTTCCAGAACTTTTTGCTAATTCACATTAAAACAACAACAACAATAACAAAAATCCCTAAATACTAGCTGGGCACCATTGCTCATACCTGTAATCCAAGCTACTAAGGAGGCTGAGATCTGAGGATCACGCTTCAAAGCTAGCCCAGGCAGGAAAGTCCATGAGACTCATCTCCAAATAACCACCAGAAAACTGGAAGTGAGGCTGTGGCTCAAGTGATGAGTGCTAGCCTTGAGCTGAAGAGTGCAGGACAGCACCCAGGCCCTGAGTTCCACAAACAAAAATAAAACAACCAACAAAAATTAAAAAAAAAACTAAATAATGATATCAGTAGATAATTAAATAGGTTAAAGCGAGTATGTTTGTTACTTTCTTTTTCCTTTTTCCCTCCTCCCCTTCTCTCTCTCTCTCTCTCTCTCTCTCTCTCTCTCGGTACATTGACCAATGCTGGTTACAAACTCCTAGTGTCAAAGAATCCTCCCACCTCAGCCTCCTGAATAGCTGGGACTACAGGTATGTGCCACTGTGCCAAGTTCATCATTATGCATAACAAATTATTTCCAGATTTTAACAGCTTGAAATAACAAACATATCCCATATTTTCTGAAGATTACCCTAGGAGTGGCTTACTTTACTGGGTCTCATGTAGACTCTCCTAAGGTGTGGTCAAAGGCCTGATTGGGGCTGAAGGCTGTAGTTTGGCTTTGCCCCCCCCCTCCCCCAAGACTCCTGTCCTCTGAGCTTGGTTCCCAGTGTGGCAGTGATGAGGTGGTGGGGCCTAGTGAGGATAATGAGGTCATGAATGAATTTATACTATGTTGCAGGAATAGGTCAGGTAGGAGGAGATTGGTTCCCATGAGAACGGGGTGTTATGAAAGAACAGACCTGCCCCTGGCTGCCTTCTTGCTTGCTTGCTCTTGCACATGGCTGTGTCTCCCCTGTGCTGAGATGCAGCCCAGAAACCCTCACCAGAATGCCAGCCGTGCTGTTCAGATCAGCCAGCCACTGCAATCATGTGCCCAGGAAACTTCTTGCTGTTGTTTGCTTTCTCAGTATATGGTGAGGCTTGAACTCAGATAGGGTAATGCAGTTTTACTCTGGCTGGTCTTGGACCACATCTTTCTACCTATACCTCCCATGTATGCGGAACACAGGCATAACATTATGCCTGGCTTATTAACTGAGCCTTGACTGTGATCTTGCCACTCCGTGTCTCGTGAGCAGCTACGATTACAAGCCAATATGCCTGGAAAGAGAATTTATTGTGGTTAGGTTATAAGGTGATTTTTTTTCTTCTGACAGTACTGGGGTTTTGCTCTTTTTAAATCGATTTCCCAACATCAGGTATTCTCTTATATCAATACAAAATAGATCAGTAGGCTGGAAGCGTTGCTTCCAAGATGTGCTCACTCATGCGCTGTTGTCTGAAGGCCTCAGTTCATTGCTGGATATTGGCACAAGACCTTAGCTCCTTACTAACTAGATTTTCAGCCAGGTTTCTGTGTCTTTAAGATGTAATGACCAGCTTCTCATCGGTGAGTAATGCATGAGAAAGCATGGTACAGGGCTAGATTGATTTATTTGTTTTTGTGTTGATCCTAGGGATTAAAATGGGGACCTGGTGATGTCCCTGAGCTTTTTAGCTCAAGGCTAGCCCTCTACCATTTGATCCACAGCTTCACTTCTGACCTTTTAGTGGCTAACTGGAGATAAGAGTCTCATGGGCTTTTCCTATCTAGGCTGGCTTCTAAAAACAATTCTTAGATCTTAGTTTCCTGGAGTAGCTAGGATTATAGGCATGAGCACCAATGCCTGGGGAAGGCAGGATCTTATCACCAAAACTTGAACTGACACTAGTTCTGCCATATTCTCTTGGTCAGACAGCAATACCAAGCCTAAGCCAGGACTACATGAAGTGCGAGAAGCAGAATTGTGCATGCCACTCAGTGGTTTATACTAGCTGGAAACCATAGCAGGGCATCATAATAAATTATATATACTGGGGGCTGGGAAGGTGGCTCAGTGGTAGAGCGCTTGCCTTGCAATGCATGAGGCCCTGGGTTCGATTCCTCAGTACCACATAAGCAAAAAGAAAAAAGCTGGAAGTGGTGCTGTGGCTCAAGTGGTATAGCACTAGCCTTGAGCTGAAGAGCTAAGGGACAGCGCCCAGGCCCAGAGTTCAGGCCCCACAACTGGAACCCCTCCCCAAAAAATATGCACAGATAATGTCGACATTCTACTTCATATGAAGAAGTATTCATTGTTGTTTTGGTTTTTGGTCAGTCCTGGGGCTTGAACTCTGGGGTCTGGGCACTGCCCCTGAATTCTTCAGCTTAAGGTAAGCACTCTAACCACTTGAGCCACAGTGTCACTTCCAGTTTTCTGGTGGTTAATTGGAGATGAGTCTCCTGGAATTTCCTGCCCGGACTTTGAACTGTGGTCCTCAGATCTCAGCCTCCTGAGTAGCTAGGATTTCAGGGGTGAGACACTGGCACCTGGCTGAAGTACACATTATTTAGCTAATCTCAAGATATGTCATCAGGATATTCCACTGCAATATGGATTCACCCAGCACTCCAAGGTTTGTTTTGTAAACTATACCTTCTCGATCATCTTCTGGGATTTTAGATCCCTTGCTGCTTTTTTAGGAGGAGGGGGCATGGTCATGGTGCTAAGAATTGAACCACAGTCACACCTGGTAGCCAAGTTCTGTATCATCCCACTACATCCCCATCCCCTGGATTTCTACTCATCTATTTAAACTTATGTTAAAATTTGATTCTACCACAGTAACAAAACATCTGTGATCCTACCTACTTAGAAAGTGGAGATCAGGAGATCATGATTTGAGGGTAGCCTAGGCAAAAAAATTAATTGACTTTTTTTTTGGGGGGTCAGTCATGGGGGTTGAACTCTGGGCCTGGGCACTGCCCCTGAGCTGTGCAGCTGACAGTAAGCACTCTACCATTTGAGCCACAGTGCCACTTCCAGTTTTCTGGTGGTTAATTGGAGATAAGAGTCTCACAGACTTTTTGCCTGGGCTGGCTTTGAACAATGATCCTCCGATCTCAGCCTCCTGAGTAGCTAGGATTACAGGTGTGAGCCACTGGCACTTGGCTTAAATTGAGCCTCTTTTTGGATCATGAGTGAGCACTGTGACACACACCTATCATCCCAAGCTATTGAAAATGAACAGTGGTTGGGTACAGTTCCAGTGATACAGGGAAGCACAAAGAGTAGGGCTAGCCCAGGCTAGCCTATCTGGGCATAAAGCAAGACCCTATCTCAAAAATGACCAAGTGGCTACAGTGGCAGAGCACCTGCCCAGCAAACACAAGGCCGTGAATACAGCCCCCTACTACCACCAAAAAGAAAAAAAAAAGCTTCCAACCACCTCTGTTAACAGTCCTCATGGCATTGTTTTTCCTATCTATGAAAATGACAACTCTGGTGTGTGCTGGTAGCTCACATCTGGAATCTTAGCTACTCAGGAGGCTGAGATCTGAGGATCACAATTCAAAGCCAGCCTAGGCAGAAAAGTCCATGAGAAGTGGTGCTATGGCTCAAAGTGATAGAGCACAGACTGGAGCAAAAGAGCTCAGGGACAGCGCCCATGCCCGGGAGTTCAAGCCCCAAGACTGACTGAAAATTTAAAAAGGCAACTCCATTCTTCAGTGCAAAGGCCATAAATCTCTTGATCATACTATAGTCTGTTACTAAAGCCCTACTTGTTCTACCTGAAAAAAGCCTTGCTCACTAATTCCATGGCTCTCACCTTGGTCCAGACTCCATTACTTGTCATTCTAATTCTTTTGTTAGTTAATTTTATTGTTATGATAAAGGTAATATACAGAGGAATTACAATTACATGAGTCAGGTGATGAGTATAATTCCTTTCATGTAGTGTCTTCTGTTCCATCACTCTCTGAGTCTCCCATTCTAATTCTTGTAGCACCCTCTGAACTGGTCTCTTGCTTTTCCCCTCACCCATGTAGAGTATTTGTAGCACATCAGCCAGAATGAACATGTTTCAAATATATACCATGTCACTACTCTGCGCAGCATCGTATGTGTGTGTGTGACAGCACTTACACGCTTACAGTTGATATACCACTACAGGGAAGCTTCCTAGAGGCAAGAAGCAATGTTTCACTGGAGATGCAGAGGGGGAAAAAGAGAGAACTGTATAGAGAGAATGGCCTGCACCTGCAGTGAAAATGCTCATGGAAATTTCTATGAATAACAGAAGGCCAAGGTGAGGGTATTTATTGAAGGGTGGTAGGGGCAAACTAGACCACCTATCACTATCTGTGTTAAACTACATTTAAATCACTTTTTAAAAGTGCATTCAAGCTACATTAAATATTTAAATAAATTAACATAGAAGTTCCGTAATGTAGAAATGAATGGCTTGCCCTTCTTCCGTACTGAAAGAGTTTCCATCCTGAGTAAATGGTGTAGAGATGCCGGCTGAGAAATAGAGGTAGGAAAGAGCACAAGGCCTTTCAACAGTGCTGCAGTAGCACCTTGTCTGTCCAGTGCCTGAGGCTGGAAGCCGTTATTCTTGTTCATGATTTTATGTCTGCATGCGATTTGGATTTTTTCTTTTTTACTTTAAGGGCCATGAAACATTGAGGCTCTCTTGCTGGTAGGCATACCGCCTATGGCCATGCATTTCATCTATCAATAGGGGAGTGTTTGATGGGTTTAATTAGCAAGCTGCTGGTCTGCATTAAGGAAGGTCTGAGTAGTAGGGCATAATACCTCAAGCTTGTAATCCTAGCTACTTACAAGGCAGAGATCTGGGAATTTGGTTTAAGGCCAGTCTGGTCACAAAACTTCCTGAAACTCCATCTGAAACCAATGATTGAACATAGTGACACTCCTATCATCCCTGTCAAAGGGAAGCACAAATGGGATCACAGTTCAGGCAAGCAGGGAATAAAACGAGACTCAAATTCAAAAATCACCAATAAAACAGGGGGGCTGGTGGAGTGACTCAAGAGGTAGAGCATCTACCAAGCATAGTTCAAGGCCCTGGGTTCAAACCCTAGTGCCACCAAAAATAAGGAGGAGGAGGAAGACGGTGGAGAAGAAGGAGGGGAAGGAGGAAGAGGGGGAAGCGGGGGGAAGAAGAAGAAGAAAAGAAGAAGAAGAAGAAGAAGAAGAAGAAGAAGGAGAAGGAGAAGGAGAAGGAGAAGGAGAAGGAGGAGAAGGAGAAGGAGAAGGAGGAGAAGGAGAAGGAGAAGGAGAAGAAGAAAAGGAGGAAGGATTTGTGGCTGCAAGGACTTTTATATAGTTGAGTAACACCAGAGAGGACTTGCCTTCAATTACGACAAAGTGAAAAGGCATATGCATTTTATTTCTCCACCTTCCACCTTTTCCCTATTAACCACCCTCTTTGGAGTTCCTCACCGGGGCTGAGAAGAGGCACTTGCTGCCCATGCCCCTCAGAGGCGAAGCTACTGTAGGGGCCTCCACTTGACTTGTTCTCTGGCCAGGGGACAGGGGCGTGGGTCTCTGGGCCAGCGCGGGGCGGGCGGGACGGCCGCGGGGGGCGGCGGGGGCCGCCCAGCACCGAGGACCACCGCGGCATCCTCTCCAGCGTGCGCGGCCTCCCTCCCCAGGCCGGCCTGCGGAGGCGGACGCAGGCCCCAGGTTAGGGGGTGTCCGCTCCGGGCGCGGGGCGGTGGAAAGTTGGCCGGCGCCCCCTGACCGGCCTCCCCGGGTGGCCGGGGGCGGGGGCTGGCCCGGGGAGTGGAACAGCTGCAGCCGCCGCCGCGCCGCCGGGCCCGTGTGGAATGCGGGGCCCGGCTGCGCACCAGGACTTTTATGGAAACTTGCTGCTGGAGGCGGCGGCAGGAGGCAGCCACGGGGCTCGGGGGCCCCAGGCGGCGGTGCTAGAGCGCAGGGACCCCTCCCCACGGGCAGGCGCAAGACGCCTTACCGGCTCCCGGCGGGTAAGACGGGCTGGGCGGGTACGATCGGGCTTTTGGGGGAGCGCCACGGGGGTCGGAGGGGGAGGACTGCGGGGCTCCCGGTCCGGAGCGCTGCGTGACGGAGGGCGGCGGGGCGCGGGGCAGACCTCCGCGGACGCGCACCCGGGTCGGCCCCGCGGGGGTCTCCGGCGGCTGCTGCTGGATTCCTTTCCCGCTCCCTGGCGTCTGCTCCACGGCGCCGGGTCGGCTGGGCGCGGGGTGCTTTCTCTACTCCTGCAGGAGCTGGGGGGCGGGGTGTCTGTCCCTTTGGGGGGTCTGAGCTGGTGAAAGCCAGCGGGGTCCTTCTGAAGATGTCCCCACCGCCATCCCGGGCTCCACTACGTCGAAGACATGAATCCGGATCGGTCCCCCGGGAGGCCCCGGAAGGAGGATTCGGATTTACCAGCCGGGCGGCTGCCAGGTCTCCAAACTAATTCTCTGGGAACGTTGTAGGGGATGGGGATCGACCGTCCGGCGGCCAGCGCCCGAGGCCGCGGGGAGCTGGGGGCTGGAGGGGCCAAGAAGGCTTCCGCCTCCTGGCTGGGTGCATTTTGGAAACCCAGTCTCCCTAAAACCCCAATCACTGGGATTTGTAAGAAAAATAACCAAGTTGGAAAGTGGGTTGCTTATAGCAATGGCTTTGAGATATTCATGTGATCCGTACGAAAAGGCCCCACTGTGAACAGTTGGGAGAGAGGGAGAGAGAGAGAGAGATAAGCAGGTAAAAATAGCATAAAGAATACGTCCTAACAAAATGTCTGTCCTTGGGGGAGAAAAGGGCAGGTAGAGAAGGGACACCGTGATAAGAAATCAGTTCCTCTCTCTAAAGCCTCAGGAATATCATTCATCAGCCAAAGTTTGTTAATGAGTTCATCAAACAGGGGCATGTCACCACATAACTATGTCTTGGGCAGTGTGATTAATAAGCTGATATATTTATACAGTCTTAGTCACACATTATTGAGTGGGCCACGTAAGTTTCCCAATGTTATACTTTTATGGGTTAAATCGCGGCCATATGAAAACTCAAAATACCACATCTCTGAAAGTCTTTTAAGTCTGGGGGTACTGTTAGAAAAGGAACTTAATCAAAACAAGGAAAGAGCTTTTAGGGAAGTTATATTTAGTATAAGTGAACTTTGGTTATCCAATGTAGCTGGCAAAGAGCTCTCCGTCCACACAGCTATTCAATACCTAACTGAAGACATTTTATATTTGGCAAACGTGTCTGAGGCATGATTTAAAGAACAATGCGTGAGATTCTGTATTTTACCTGCATCAACTCGCAAGTGCCCTAAGCAAAAACCACAACAAACTTTTCTCATTACCATTATTAGTATAATCCAATTTTAATAGATCTGTACTTTTAAATCCATTCTCAATTGAAATGCAGTAAATGACAATTTTTCTTGCTCACCTTAAAATGGAATCTGTGCTATTTTTGAAAATTTGACATACAAAGCTGATCCTTGTCAAAATGTATGTCATGTAGAAGTGACTATATTTAGCATCAACAAAGGAGTGCCTTATCTGGGCTTTTGAACAGTATTTTTCTTCTGAACTATAACTTGAAGTATTGAGGCTAGAGTTTCATTTGTGAACAAAATGGTGTCTAAGTATGGATATTCTGAAAACATTAATTGGGATTCAGAGTGGCCTAGTAGGATAGACTTCATTTATGAGGCAAAAAAACCCAAAAACCCACTACCTGTTTCTTTGAAAACCTCTAACAAATACAAATAATTATTTTTTATGATGATGATTATTTGGTGATACTGGGTTTAAACTCAAGCTTTTGCTTACTAGCATTCTACCATTTTGAGCCACACCTCCAGCCCTTTTGTTGTGTGTGTGTGTGTGTGTGTGTGTGTGTGTGTGTGTGTGTGTGTGTGTGTGTTGGTACTGGAGCTTGAACTCAGAGCCTGGAAGCTGTCCCTTAGGACAGCTTCCACTCAAGGCTAGTGCTCTACCACCTGAATCACAGATCCACTTGTGGGTTTTGGTAATTACTTGGAGTCGGATGCATACGATGGGCCGTCTGCTGGCTTAGCATTCCATACCTCAATTTTATATGTAGTAGAGTTGGGTTAGTCTTTAATAGATACTGTGGGCCTGGGAGTGGAAGAAGAGGTGAGCATTCATTCACTCTAATCACTATCAGTGTCAGTTTGTCAATTACAACTGGGTGAAACTGTGGATTGGTGACCAAGACAAATCCTCTATTTAGTTATTGTGACAGTTCTGTGCCTTGATCTCAAGGCTTGGGCATTGTCCCTGATCTTTTTTACTCAAAGCTAAAGCGCTACTACTTGAGTCACACCTTCACTTCCAGCTTTTTGGTGGTTAATTGAAGGTAAGAATCTCATGAAAGCTCCTGCCTGGACTGATTTTGAGCCACAATCCTCAGATCTCAGCCTCCTGAGTAGCTAGGGCTACTTTATCTGTTTCTTTTCTATCTCTAAAGGATTTTCCTGGAACTGAGTGTCTTAATAAAGCAACACAGGTGAATGCGTCTGCCACCCTGTGCTTTTAGGCAGTGCCCAAGAAATGCTTCTCCTGTGCCCCCTTTCCCTCTCATTCTGGACTCTTAGGTGAAAAGACAAACGTTTTGGTACTCTCACGGCCTGTTTTTGAGGTTTGTAAAATTTGCAGCATTTTCCTTTTGTTGTGACTCTTCCCTGTTCTCTCACTTTTACTCTGCCTCCTTCTTTCTGGCTGAAATAAGCCTTCTCTTGGGCTCTCTCAGGTATTATCAGTATGGTCCATTCAGATCAGGGGCCACAAACTGACAACCAAATAGCTAAGTCTAAAGTAGGTACCTTTTGCAATAAAATATGTATTTATGTCCTCTCTTGAGAAACTTAGGAGATCTAGACAAAATGAGGTCCACATTTCTACACAGCAACCATAGTTGAAATGGAGGAAGGGCTGCCCCAGACAGGACACACACTCTCCACTTGTCACAACTTGTCACACTCATTTATACTTCTAGACATGTGACTGAGTTCTCTGATCTAAGTCTGAAGCATGATATACCGGGAGGTCTTCTGGCTTACCATTGCCTTCCTTTACGTGTAGTAGGTTGATTTGGGTTAGTCCTTCTTAGATCCTGTGGTACTGAGAGAGTGAAGAAGACCTGAGCATTCATTCATACCAATTGTTACTGTCAGCTTGTCAAGTACAGCAAGGCAGGACCATGGTTTGGTAACCAAGACAAGCTGCCGACTAATTGGAAGTGAGGACAATAGAATGCAGAGGGAAGATATTGCAGGTAAGAAAGGCTTCTCTCGGTTCTCTTATTAATTCTACTTAATCCTAATTAATTTCGGAGTGTTTTGTGATTCCTAGAGCTGGGCCATAAAGTAGAGTTCATCTTTTACTATTCTTCTGCCTCTTCACCTCACCAGGAGTCTGCAGCCAAAACCCAGGTCCCTCCACCCCCCCAGCAGGACTCCTCAGTGGCATCCAGATTCCCCATGTAGAAGGGGAGTGGGCCCAGACCCCCACCACCGTCACCACATCCATTTACTTCCTGTGCCCTAGGTGTCTGAGTGGTCATGATGTTTAGTTTAGTGTAAACAAACCCTATTTTCTTTTCTTTTTTTTCTTTTTCTCTTTTTCTTTTTTGTGGTTGGTCGTGGGGCCTGAACTCTGGGCTTGGGTGCTGTTCCTGCTCTCTTCAACTCAAGGTGAGCACTCTACCGTTTGAGCCACAGCGCCATTTCCAGTTTTCTAGTGGTTTATTGGAGATAAGAATCTCACAGACTTTCCTGCCTGGTCTGGCTTTGAACTGTGATCCTCAGATCGCAGCCTCCTGAGTAGCTAGGATTACAGGCGTGAGCCACCAGCCCCTGGCCCTATTTTCTTTTCTATTATTACTTGAGTTGATTATCATCAGCTCTTCTTTTGCAGCTACACTTCATTTATTTGGGCTGGGTTTGGGTCTCACAGTATTGTCTCTTTGTAATTCATCCACATAAGAATCTGAATGGTGTTTGCATTGTGTCCTGGATATTGTGGGAAATACTCAGGATGCTGAGGGAAATAATAGGTCTCACCATTCAGGACCATAGTGTCGGGGACACAATTGAAAAAAATCTGTCATATAAAGGCAAAGTATTAATATAATTATTACAGAAGAATGCCAAAGCAACTTGAAATTAAGATTCCTGGTTTTCAGTGATAAATTGTGTTTCAAATAGGCAGGATAAAATTTCACATTTTAGAGTTATGATCAGGTTTCTGAAAGGTTTTACAGCATTTTATTTTGTGCTGGTCCTGGGCTTGAACTCAAAGACCAAGAGCTATCCCTGAGCTTTATTTCTCAAGGCTAGCTCTCTTCCACTTGAGCCACAGCTCTACTTCCTGATTTTTGGTAGTTTGCTGGAGGTAAGAGTCCTAGGATCTTTCTTGCCTATGATGGCTTTGAACTGTTATCCTCCCCCTCTTGAGTGGCTAGGATTACAGGCATGAGCCACCTGTACCTGGCTAGCATAATTTTGAAACCTTCATGAATAATACACAATAAAGTTATATTTAAGCCTGTATATATTGGTAATATTCACTTTTGAACTTGAGACCTCATCCTAGGCATACACTCACTATACCACTTGGTCACATTTACTTTTCAGATTTTTTCCCTTGGGGTAGACATTGGGCAGAAATCTCCCTACCTCTACCTCATTTGTAGCTGGGATTACAAATATGCACTGTCATACCCTCTTTGCTTGTTTGGGAGGGGGCTCTTAAATTTTTGTCCTGGCTGACCTTATCCTCCTGATCACTGCCTCTGGATAATTAGAATTCCAGGCATGACCCACTGTGCCTGGCTCTAAGTTTATATATCTTATACAAGTGGAAAAAAAATGATGAGAATGTAGGCTCACATTTTAGGAAACACAAAACAGTTTTGGTGTGTGTGTGTGTGTGTGTGTGTGTGTTTGCCAAAGATTGTAAGAGTTAGGTTTTTAACCTTTGTTAGT